GAAGAGTTAGACAAGAAACAAGAAAACAATGTCTTGTATTGCAATAGTCAAAGTGATATCCATCTAGCAAAGAATCCGTCTTTTCATTCCAGGACAAAATGTAACACCCCAACCCGTATCCGACCCGGATACGAGTCCGAAGTGTCACATTGACTTTTCAAACATTTATTCGTATAAAATAGTGAGTAATTTAAAAACTTTTATAACATTTAACTTATTCAAAACATTTACAAAACTATTCTGAGCTTATACAATATATTCTTTTGATTACATGCCAACTAGAACTTTATATATAAAAATACATATTATTCACCTCTCTTCTGATCTGACATTCGATAAGGAGAACTGACCTGTCTTGTTCCTCTTTACTTCTCTTTCCGCTTTCCAAACCTACGTGTGAAACAATCACACGCTAAGTCGATGACTTAGTGAGGCATATAAAATATATAATATTTCATATAACATAAAGCATACATAAACATATATCATCATTATCATAATCTCTATCATTATCATTAAGAAACACACATAACATCATATGGTTCATGAAACACATTTCAAATCACTTATAAACCCATCGTATACATATCACATTCAGTATATTTGTTTATTCTCTTTATTAGCCCATGTACACTAGTGAGAACTTAAGGTATGTGAGTACATTGAGGTTGTGCACACATATGCTGTCACCACAGCTCGATCAATGTCCCGAAGGACTTATCCAGAGGTCATAAAGATCCTCGGTAACTATCCAGAGGTCATAAAGATCCTCGGTAACTGTCCATAGGTCCCGAAGAACCTAGGTAAACTATCCATATGTTCCCTTAGAACATAGGTATACTGTCCATATGTCTCGAAAGACATAGGTAGTTCTTTGACTCTTGGCATGCCAACTATACCTACAGTTCTCATAACTCATAACATGGGCATTATCATTATGAATACATTTCTCATCACTTGTTCTTTCTCTTCTGTCACATACCACATGTATGTGTAACCATGTATTTCATATCATATATTTTATAATAGATTCTTATATCATTATTTGTTTCCTTCCTACCTATTCACAATCACACTAACATGTAATGCAAGCAAGATGTATTAATACATACATGTAATCACATAACTTATATCATATCATTTCTCTTATAAACACATATCTCTTCTTTTCTGTCACGTATCACATATACGTGTAATCATTGATCTTATAATCTCATGTTCCTTCTCTTCTGTCACATACCCTATGTATGTGTAAACATATATCTCATAAACATATATTTATGAATCTCATATCGTATCACATATTCACATAAACATGTAATCCACTTTCACATAGCTTGTCACATAGGCATGTATTCTCATATATTATAATTTCATATAGTTCAATATCACATATCACATATACATGTAATCATGTACTCATACACACATAAGCATCATATCAGTCACAAATCAAATAACATTTTAGGAGTCACTTCTTACCATAGTAACTCCATCACTGGCTCATCACAAGCCAATGTTTATTCGATAACATAAGTACAATTAAATTGCACTCACCTTAGCTTTGCTTTGATTCGATTCTAATCCTTCAATTGTTTCTGAATGGGATCACGTTCTATATCTACATGATCATTCATAGATCTATATCAGTATTATAACTAATATACTCTAATGGTTCACTCCTTAGACTAAGAAAAATGCCAATTTCATCTTTCAATGAAAGTATGCATCGATGCACTACTGATGCATCGGTGCATAAAATGCATTCGATGTTGTATTATCACTGGGATGCATCGATGCATGCCTTATGCATCGATGCACTAATTGCATTTGATGTTTCTATTTTAAAAGAGTGCATCGATGCACTACCTATGCATCGATACACCTTCAAACAAAATTCTGGGTTTTAACCTTGATGCATCGATGCACTATGAATGTGCATCGATGCACTCTGCCCAGAACCTCTTTTTGAACCCAAAAATCATCAACTCTTCACTCAAATGCTTCATATTTCATCCCCTTTCATAATCCTAACTTTCATATACATGTTTAAACTCACTTATAATCATTTATCCCATCTTTAACCTTAATATCCTCTCCTCTTTAGGAACTTCAAGAATCATACCCTATTTTCCACATGTTTCAAATCCAATTCTAACATTTAATACTTCTTAATTTAGCTGATGACAAGTCAAATTTAGTTCCCAATTCAACTTATCATCTCTTTTCCAAAGATTCACTTAAAAACCCATTTTCTTTAATCTTTCATAACTCCTTTATCTTTTGATTTTAAGATAACTTAAGCTTTCCTTAAGCTTAGTTATCCTCTAATGATCAAAACCCAACCTTTAATTAAACAAATAATCAAGAAATCAGAAACTCACCTTTGCTTAGCTTCCACAGGGAGGAGGAAGAAGAAATGAAGAAGAAGATGAAATTTTTTTCATCTTCCACGTTTTCATCTCTTATAAAAGGGATAAAATATCTTTAATGTCAAATGACCATTTTACCCTTTAATTCCTTTAATAATTACTAACAACTTTTAGGAAATATTTTCAAACAAATAACTGAACTAATCCATTCTTCTACTTTAGTCACCAAATTCTGAAACTTTACAATTTGGTCACTAACCCATAGTTTGGGATGTTACACAAAAAACATACAATTGAGATATCATTTTATCCGGTCTCTTCTGGAAGATGAGATTTTGAGACTTTAAAAGATTAGTGGAGCTCAAAATCCGGCAGACATGTTGACAAAGACGGTGACTACGGACAAACTGAAGTTGTGTTCAGCTTCAGTTGGCATGCTAGAATAACAAGACCAGAAATACTGTTGTATTGATCGAGGTGTGAAGACAAATTAAAATCAGTCTTCAAGTGGGAGATTGTTGGTCAAATAATAAATGCTAGCAGCCGGTGGCTGCTTGAAATTCAAAGGTGGGGGTTGCTTTAAATTTCAAAGTTAGGCAGCCCATTTTATTGAATTTGGGCAAGGGATAATCACCAAATTGAGTCATTTAACTTTAAGGTATTTATAAGATTAGTCCTCAAGCTTCAACTATAAATACCCTAGCTCATTTAGCTTCAAAATCATCCCAAAAATCATTTGTTTCTCCCATTACTAGAGAGCTTTCTTGTGAGTAATGAGTGTTTTGTAAACACCTGTAAATTTTCTCTCTTAGTAAAAGATCTACAGCAGTCCAAAGACATAGACATAATTGGTTGAACTCCGTTATCAATTTTGGGTATTATTTTTCCACTTTTATTTAGCATTCTCACTAATCTGGTTATAGGGAAATTACTTGTTACTCGTAAAGGGCTTATTTCCCAACATTATAATATATTGTATCAATTCCGGCAGACTGCCCGGATTGTACATCTGCATGAGTAGATAAGATAAATAGATGATTGTCAAACGAAAATGAGAAATTTGGCAAAGAAAGTCGAGATTACTCGAATTTCCATACCCGATGTCATTGTTAAGTTTATCGGTGGTGGCATTTTAGAACCGCCATTGGAACCTTGTTTCTTTTTTCTCCCCCTTAAATAGAAAAACAAGACGATGAATACAACGACCAAAACACCCACTACTGTCGCATCAATCACACTTTTATTGATGGGGTTTCCGGCATTACTACTACTACTACTAACAATATTCCTTTGTCTGTTATTACTGGAGTTGCCTGAACTGGAAAATCCGTCGCTTGGGTTAGAGTTGGGAGATGTGGATGTGCTTGGAGTAGGAGGACGTAATGCTTTAGGAGAGGAACTAGATTACGCTGTAGCGGATCCATTTGCCTCTGCTGGTGAAGATGCTAGTGAAGACGACGGTAATGACGAAGATGATGATGATGCTGATGATGACAACCAGGTGTGGAGTTGGATGAAGATGGTGATGATGAGGTTCGAGGAGAACTTGGGGGTGGCAAAGGACTAGTTTCTGTGGAATTTCCCGAAGACTCAGAAGGAGAAGGATCGTCTGATGAACATTCTGATGGTGATGACAATGATGATGACGGCGATGGTGAGTTCTTAGAACGTCCGTTGGGAGTTGGTTGTGATTGCTGCTGATAGCTTTGAGTTTGAGGTGGTGAAAGAATTTGTTGCTTAGGAGTTTGAGAGCTAGGAGATGGTTCCGACGTTGAAGGTGGTGGCGGAGAGAGTGGTTTCTTTTCCTATGGCTCCGGGGGTGGAGGGGCAGATGACTTTGTACCTGAAGAAGGCAAAGATGAAGATGGTTGCTTATTTGAAGAATCGATAGGCGGAGGAGGAGAAGGTGAAGTCGAAACCGGAAGGGATGCTTCCGATGAAGCCTTATCGCTGTTATTATCAGCACTGCTTTCTAGAGTGGAAGAGCCCGGTGACGCCGACAGAGAAGTATCAATATCCGGCGAATCCTTCGGTTGTGACATTCTCCAATTCCTCTTTCCACTTTCTCCGTTATCTCAAATTATAATTATACAAAAAAACATACATTTCTTATGCATTAAAACAATAACATTAAAGGGTGGGAAAAAAACTTCAGAAACGAAATTAGTTTTTTAGAGGGTGAAAAGAAAGGAGTTGAAGGAGAAGAGAAGATGAAAGAGAGAAGCCAGGGAACACAAAAACATGAGAAATTCACAGCTTTACTTAAATTAAGGAAAATCGTCGTTATGTATAGTTAATAGTTGTAGCCTTGGTAGGCATCTGTTAATTAGTAGTAACAGCCTTTTTTTCTGATCAATCATCCTTGAGTTTCGGGTTACCAGACAACTTCAGTTTTTATATTGTATTTGAAAACACTATAACATTAAAATTTGTCTAACAATTAATTAGGGGTAAATGAAATAATAAATAATTTATAAATAAATTTGCACTAATACGTCAATAGTTAAAAAGATAAATAAATTTATAAATTATATTGTTAGATTCATAATAACTATTTTTATATAAATACAGAAATATAAACACCATCAGTAAAACAAAGCAGCAAATTTCTCCATTTCATGCTTCTTCAGTGCCAAACCAACCTCAACTCCTACTCTCGGCCATGAAAACAGCTTCATCCCTCTCTATGGACACAATCTCCACCTTCTTGATCTTACTCTGTCCGAAATCCGCCTCGTAAACATTCAACTTAGGTGATCCAGCAACCATGATCAACTGCGTACCAGGTAATTTTGGAGCGTAGAAATTCGTAGGATTCATTTCCGCACCTTCAAGAACGCCCTTATTGATCTTCTGCACCAATTCGCTCACTATATCTATAGCAAAGGCAAAGCCACCTTCTCCCATGAAATTTGTCGCTTCCGCCGAGTTGGAATAATTCACAACGCAGTTACCGAAGTATGTCGGTGGAGCCGGCGGGTCTAGTCGAGCCCTACAATCGACTCCGAATTCGATGACGACGTCTCTGTCGCCTTCTCCTTTTGTTTTAACCAGACAGGTTGATGTATAAGCAAGCGTGACGACGAAACTCGAGAGATGATGTTGGTGTTTCCCTCTCCCATGATCGGTTGCTAATTCAGACAAAGCCTTTTCTCTGAGTCCCTTGATGTCTTTGCAGCTGAATTCAAACGTAGCTCCAACAATGTTGTCGGAAACCGCCTGTAACGAGGCCGGGATTTTCATGCTTCTCGTATCGGACTCTTGTTCGAAAATAGCTCGCCATTGATTCAAGAAACTTATGACCAGTCCCGATGGGTCTTTGATGATGCTCCTATCGAACGACGGGGTTAACTCGGGTGGCAATTCGTTAGTACCGTGTTTGCATAGATAAGCCCATGACCGCATAAACATGCTCGCGATTCTACCGTCGAACGCTGAATGGTGCGCTGCCGTGCCGATGCTAAATCCTTGACCGGGAAACAGTGTTATTTGCAAAGGGAGTATTTCCGCTTTATCATCGAACAAGATCAACGGAGGTGCAAAAGGATGCAACTCTTTTGCTCGATGCATTTCATTGCTGATTAAAGTGTCAAAGATGGCTACATTGGATTCGGCGACCGAGAGAGTAACGCCGTCGTTAGGAGTGTAGGACACGACGGGTTTGTCGGATTCCGATGGCCACTTCAAGTAGACGGCGATTGGAAGGTAGTGGGAAAGTGCGAGTGAAAGAGATTGCTTGAGTCTGGGGAGGATTTCTGAGTTGAAATAGGAAGGTGTGGAATGGGAGTCACTGAGTTGGTATAAGTATAGGCTTTGAACGGGAGGGAACTTGAACCAATAGGTGTCGAAGAAAGTGAGTGGAAGGCTGAATTCGTTGGCGGAGTTTGGTGAGTCGGAGGAAGGGGTGACTCGAGTGATCTCATGTATTTTAACTGTACTTTCAGATGTAGGCATGGTTGAGAGAATTTAAGGGAAGAAGAAAGTTATGGTTTTTTATTATTAAGAATGAAGAAGACAGCTCTTTTGGCACGTGAGATTTGAAAGGAAGGGGAGACAATTTATATGGATTACGGGCTGCTGAAGTTCACCTACCCAAAATTGAAGAAAACACTTAAAAGAATTTTGGTGAACAAAGTGCTTTAAACTATATAACTAAAACGTCCTCATCTCTAAACCCTCTTCATGGAGGATTTGCGAACAGGTGATACTCAATTCAGTATTGTGATAATTTTTCTTTATTAAAATAATATTTTATTGTAAAATTTCAACTTTAAACTATAAAGAAAGAAAGTTTTGATGTTTTAGGTATTAAATTTATGAGGTTACAACTTTTTTTAAACTTTTTTTTATAATATTTGTTTTTCAATATTTCTTTTATAAATTTTAAATTTAAAAAATATATACATATAACGACATCATCATTAACGTATGTTATAATATTATATTATTATATCATTAAAAATACTCGAACTAAAGGGTCGGGTTTTTTTGAACATCCCTGATGAACACTGCATATCCTTGGACAAGAGGAGTGGAAGTGATTAACACGACACTCCTTTAAGTATTACACTAAGGTGGTGTTTGTTTTTACTGTGTAAGGTCTGCAAAGTTCTTATGTCTGCGCCGCGCAGACATTGGGCTTCGCAGACCGTTTGTTTTTTAGAAAACAAAATCTCTTCTAACGTCTGCACGAGCTCTTCCTAGTGCAGACATGATTTTATGTATTCAAAAGTCTTCAAACCTCTTCAAAGAGCATTAAAATTATTTAAATCTATTTTAAAATGAGAAAATAACCTCAGTGACAAAAAATGCCTTATAATATACGATTTTAACCAACTTTTTTTGGATTTACCAAAATGGTCAACTAAATCGCAATGCGATCGATAATTCGTAACGCGATCTTCGGTATCGCAAATCAGTTTCCAGATTCGCAACGCGAACTTCGACTATCGCAATGCGATTTTCCAAATTCGTTGCGATAGTCCAAGTTCGCGTTGCGATTTATTCCAAATTCGCGTTGCGATAGTCCAAGTTCGTTGCGATAGTCGAAGTTCGCGTTGCGATTTATTCCAAATTCGTTGCGATAGTCCAAGTTCGTGTTGCGATAGTCGAAGTTCGCGTTACGATTTATTCCAAGTTCGTTGCGATAGTCGAAGTTCGCGTTGCGATTTATTCCAAATTCGTTGCGATAGTCGAAGTTCGCGTTGCGATAGTCGAAGTTCGCGTTGCGATTTATTCCAAGTTCGTTTCGATAGACGAAGTTCGCGTTGCGATTTATTCCAAGTTCGTTGCGATAGTCCAAAATCGCAACGACTGGTGGTATTGTATTTGTTTCTTAAGAATTTTCTCTAAAAAGATAGTATTCGTGCGGACGTGTCGAAGACACGTATTACCACGACCACGACCCGAGACGAGACGGACGGCGGCGGCGGCGGCGCGCGAGAGTCCCCCTTGTTCTCTATCACTCAACAAGGAAGTGGGAAAGACAAGCCTTAAATATCATTCCCAATAGTGTTTCCAATACTATGCGGGATTGAGCATTACCAACACTTGTTCCCAATACTATGTGAGATTGAGCCTTAAATAGTGATATTATTTGTGAATTATAGTTAATGACTTTAGTATTTGTATGAAAAGTATTTGTGGTTCGTTTAGTTTTCATGCAATTCTAATTTATTTTCAATTGATTGTAATTGCATGATAACAATTTTTTTTATTCTCGCGAGTGATGCAATTTTTTTGAATGTTTTGCTTAAAATTGCAATAATCGTGATTGATTGTAGATTGACTTTTAATTATGACATATTTAATCGTATAATACTAATGCAATTGGTTGCTGATTCGGTTGTTTTAAGGTGCATGATTGTTAATTGTTTCCTGAATAATCACATAGTATTAGAAACAAGTGTTGGTAATGCTCAATCCCACATAGTATTAGAAACACTATTGGGAATGGTATTTAAGGCTTGGTTTTCCCACTTCCTTGTTGAGTGATAGAGAACAAGGGGAACTCTCGCACGCCGCCGCCGTCCGTTCGTCTCGTCTCGTGTCGTGGTTGTGGTCGTGGTCGTGGTAATACGTGTCTTCGACATGTCCGCGCGAATACTATCTTTTTAGAGAAAATTCTTAAGAAACAAATGCAATACCATCAGTCGTTGCGATTTTGGACTATCGCAACGAATTTGGAATAAATCGCAACGAATTTGTAATAAATCGCAACGCGAACTTCGACTATCGCAAATCAGTTTCTAAATTCGCAACGCGAACTTGGACTATCGCAATGCAAATATATAAATCGCAATGCGATAGTCGAAGTTCGCGTTGCGAATCAGGAAACTGATTTGCGATATTGGAGATCGCGTTGCGAATTATCGATCGCATTGCGATTTAGTTGGTCATTTTGGCAAATCCAAAAAAAGTTTGTTAAAATCCTATATTATAAGGCATTTTTTGTCACTGAGATTATTTTCTCTTTTAAAATTTATTTTAAAATATGGATTGATTTATTTTAAAATATAGATTGATTTATTTTAAAATATGGAAAATTTATTTTAAATTATGGATTGATTTATTTTAAAATATGAAAAAATTTATTTTAAAATATGGATTGATTTATTTTAAAATATGAAAAAAATTATTTTAAAATATGGATTGATTTATTTTAAAATATATATTGATTTATTTTAAAATATGGATTGATTTATTTTAAAAAATTTATTATTGTAGTTGTATGGATTATTTTAATTTCAGTTTTATAAAACTAAAATTATTTAAATTTCAGTATTGCAAAACTCTTTTAAGTTTAAAAATCAGTTTATTTTAACAGTCTAAAGACGTTAAAAAATAAACAGTCTTCTTCTTGCAGACTGGAGACTTTTTGTCCACCTCTTCTGCTGCAGATGCCTGCAGATATAGTCCACAGACTGCAGACCTTTTACCTCTGCAAAAACAAACACCACCTAAGTGGACCGACCCTAGGTCACAATTTTAACGTGTTTCAAGAATTCATTGATATTCTAGGCACTGTGTAGATACTGGCACAACATTTCCTATCTATAGACCTTCATCCATATTTATACAATTAGATATAAAATTATTTATTTAAAAACAGAAATTAAAGTAATCAATTTTCTAATTTCTGATCATCGTGAAAAAAAAAATCAAACTACTTTAAAATTTGAATAGATAAAACAATACTTATTATGAAATTGATAATTAGGATACGAAAGTCTATAAGGATATATTCGTGTTCAATAGAGTAGGTAATGGATGCATCAATGAAATTATCTTCACTTATATAAACCATAAAAGTATATAAATACGATTTTACCTTCCCTCTAATGATCATAGCAATAATATGAATGTGGTGCAAAATTTCAAACCCAAATCAAGAGCGGTTGTTGCACCAAACCAAATACAGTCCCTCAACCAACGCGAATAAAACGAGTGGCGACGGGATAAGGATGAGACGACGTTTTATCGATAACAAGTCACAATGGGAAAATGGACAAAAGCCTAAAAAGGAAGTGCGTTGCGTTGGGTATAAGTACACTGTAATTTTGTTGAAATTGTTTGTGGTCGGACGACGCGGCAATGTGAAAGGATATTTTTGTGTAGTCCTATAAATGAATCGAACAAGTATATTCATGTTCATTCGTTTAACTTTAACCGAATAAATACGAACATAAACGAACGAAAAATTTCTTGCTCATGTTCGTTCGATAAGGAATATAGCTTGCTCGTTCGTATTCGTTCATTTAAATGATAAACGAACACAAATGAACGAACATAAACGAACACAATAAACGAATGTAAACAAACACAATAAATGAATATAAATGAACGTAGACGAACATAAATGAAAATAGATTTTTTTTTTCTTTCCTAACAATTTTATAATTATATTTTATTTAATTGTTTTGAGATTTTTTTATTTGTATTTAAAATTAATAGAATTTTAAAATATTTATGGGTATCAGATTAAAATTTATTGGGTTTTAATATTTTAAATGGGTCTAGAGAGATTAGGTTAAACATAAATGAACGCACATAAACGAACATAAGCAAACGAACATAAATGAACGAACACAAACAAACATAAATGAACGAACATAAACGAACATATTATCGAACGTTCACGAACGTAAATGAACGAACAAGCCCTCTGTTCATGTTCATTCATTTAATTAAACGAACACAAAATATTATTCATATCCGTTCGTTTAATATATAAATGAACATAAACGAACTTTCCGTCGGTTCACGAACTGTTCGTTGAACCTTTGGTTCATTTACAGGTTTACTTTTGTGCAATAAAATTAGAAAAGGTGGGTGGAGACTTTATAGTAAAAGATCATCTTGTTATTTTAAAAATACAAGCGTTTGTCTCAATTTGGATTTGAAACTTCCCACAAAGTCATTTTATCATCCCGCCGTTGTTTTTATTCCATTATGTATAATCATATCATATAATATTTAGGGTAAATTACATTAGATATATTAAATTTTATTTGTTGACTCGTTTATACTATTGAACTTTCAATTTTGATATTTATAGCACTAAATTTTAGTTTTACATTCAATAATATATGTCACTTCTTCGTTAAGTCACTAACAGAACGATGACATGGCTAACTATTGCTAACATGGCTAACTATTGCTAACATGGCATGCCACACCAAAACGACGTCATTTTGGTACAGTTGTTCTGATGCCTAAACGATGTCGTTTTAGAAATTAAACTTTAGGGGTTTACTGATTATGCCACTAAACTTTTAAACAATTTTTTTTTACCACTGCATTTTTCGACCACCCCAAAAGTCAATCACAACTCGTCACCGATCATATTTTACAACAAAATCAATTTCAAATGTTCACGTTTGACTCATCATTCTTCTCATATGATTAGTTTTTCATGAAACACACTTAAAATTGATGAAATTAAACGCAAAAAATCTACCATTTTTTAAATGTTTGGAGACTTTATTAGATTTAAGGGATTTGAGGTGTTTGTTAAAAAATATGAAAGGTGAAAAACATTGATTTGATAAGATAAACAACATACCTCAAAACTAGTTTCATCAATCGATCATTGAAAGAGATCAGAGTATTAATATGTTGAACTTTTAAATGGGCTTTTGACGATTTTAAATGGGTTTCATGGAAAACATATCATGTGAGAAGAAAGAGGAATGAAATACGAATATTTTGGTACCTATCTTATTGCAACATATGACGAATGAACGACGGTGCTTGGCTGCTGACAAGGGCCAAAAAGTGTAATGGTAAAAAAAGAAAAGTGTTTAAAAGTTTAGTGACAAAATTGATACACTCCAAAAATTTAGTGTTTAATACGACATCGTTTTAATCATCAGAACAGCCGCACCAAAACAATGTTGTTTTGGTGTGGCATGCTACGTCAGCAACCATTAGTCATGTCATCGTCTCGTTAGTGACTTAACGGAGGAGTGACATAATTGAACCTTAAAACTAAAGCTCAACGCTATAATTGGAAAAATTAAAATTTTAGTGGTATAAATAAGTCAATGGGCAAAGTTTAGTGGTATCTGACATAGTTTACCCTAATATTTGTTAAATAACTATTGAGTGACTTTAATGATAAATGAGAATATTATTCTTTTATTCAAGAAAAAGAAAAAAAAATATTATTTCCTTTAAATATTTTGAGTTAAAATAATTGTATATATAGAATGTGTATATGTTACTTTTAATCTAAAAAAATATCAAAATAAATACTATTTTATAATCATCCAAACTATTAAAAAATAATTGAAAAAAGTTTGATAGTGTCAAAGTTCTCATGTTTTTTTATATATAAATAATCAGTTAAATCTCATATAATCATGATTAAATGAAGAGTTCGCAGTTCCAGAATACCTTTTTTAATTTCCTTAATCGAAATTTCCTTCTTACCGTCCACAACTTCCTCTTCTAAGATAATATTCCGAATCCCGTATAATTATCTTTGATTGTTGTACTAAATCTAATTAAATTTAAAAATTATCTTTAATAGTTTAAAACCAACGTATTTTATCATAAAAATTTTAAGGTTCACAATACTTATTTATAAGTTTTTTAAGGGTTTAAAGATAACATTCTAAATATATACTTATTAAGTGATTGAATATAAGATATATATTTATATATATATATTCACATTGCTATCACCGCTTAATTAGCTTGTGCTTACGTATGTGTTAACTTTTTGAGTAAATTTTTTTTTATTATTTTAAATTTATGATTCATTTCTTTTATTTTGGTATTGCATGATGTTAGCGTTGAAAAGTTTGTTTGAAAAACATTTCACATCAATAAAGGTTAGGGATGAGCATGAGATCTGAACTTGACGGATTTTGACATGATTTGATTTAATTGGATTAGATTTTTTTTAAAAACTCGGGTCGGGTCGGATCGGGTCGAGTTAAGGATTATGGTGAAAAAATCTAACCCGACCCGAAAAAAATATAAGTTTACATTATATATATTAGGAATAATTGTAAAATACTCCTCTATATATTATTATTTTCAATTAAGTCACTGTTTTTATTGAATAAAAATAATTTTTTTATTATTTCGGATCGGATAGGGTTCGGGTCGGGTCTCGGGTGGAGGACTCCTTGTTCTCAGATCAGGTCAGGTATACCAAAAATCGGACCCAACCCGACCCATGCCTATCCCTAATAAAGGTACGTCCTACAATCTTTTGAAAAGCATCTTCCATATCTTGTCCTTTTATTAAAAAAAAGTCATTTTAGTAAATAATATTATTTGGGTGTCATTTGAATAAATAAATATAAAATAAGTATTATTTTTATATATTAACTGAGAAAAATGAAAAAAAAACAATAAATGAATGAAAAAAAATTCTATATAATATAGTTACATTTTCATAAAGATGTTAAATGATATTATTAAAAGTTTAGTGCTCGAATCTGAGACCTCTATGAATAAAAATTATCCTCTTAATTATTGAAGTAGCTTGATTCATGTAATTTTAATCTTATTAAATTAAATCGAGTCATGATCTATCAAATTTAAATATTTTAACTATTTCTAACTCTCAAGTATACAAGAGACCCAACAATTTTGAGCTCTTCATTATCCACGGCCATTTTATTGGCTGATTGGGCTTGGGCTTCATTCATATCGGTGTTAACTAGACCACCCTCCATGCTTTGTTGATCCATCGCAAGGCCCTAAGTTTGTGACTCAGAAGTTGGCCCAAGATAGGGTGATCCCAATAACACATTGAATCATTGCAGAAACAAATGGTATTTTGCCTGTTGGGGTCTAAAACCATTTTGTACAATATAGCATATCCTAAAATATGAAAGTAATTGATCTTATTTGGAGGTCGTGAGTTCAAACATAATGTTTGTAGGGGTGTTTGAGCATTCATTATCAAATAGTTGATAATTTTTCAAACAAATATTATTTTATATTCATCTCATACTAATAAAAAAAATACGAAACAAGCCTACACTTTTCTCCAGTGTTAATCTTTTTCCTTTGTAGCATAGATGCCATAGTGGTCCATTGAAGTCTACGACAATTCGCACTTTGTTTAATTGTTTTATGGTGGGTTTAGGGATTAATTACTATCTTCCCAAGTATATATTCTATTTCAGCTCCAGACTTAGAACAATACTACTTAAATCTTGTTCATTTAAGAGAAAGAAAAGGAAAGACATCTTACATTTTTATTATTGAAATCATTTATTAGATTCTTTTCTAATATTATTATTCAATTCCTAGAGGAGGGTTAAGGATTAAAAAAACCTATATTCGAAGAATTTGGGTTCGATACGGTAGATATTTGTTTTTATAGAATTCGAGTTTTAGGTTGGATCAATTTTCTTTTAAGTTTAGTAAAGCTGAATCGAGTTTTTATTTAAGAAGAACATGTTCTATCATTCTTTAAGAGAATTATAAAAATATTCTTTTATGTATTTATATTGGGTTATGATCCACTTACAACTAATGTAAAATTTTTAGTTTTATACATTTTTAGGATCGATGGATGAATTAAAATAGACCATTGAGATTATCTCATTATTTTTTTTACTGTGAATATCTTCTCATTTTCTAGTGTTAATATCAATCGTTTATTTTCACTTATGTAATGATCATAAAAGATATAAAATTAAAAAAAATTACAGTATAAACGGATCATACTTCATTTATATATTATTAGTTAGGTTTGGATAAAAACATACGTAAAATTTTGACATGGAGGTAGAAGAATTATGATATTAATTTAAAATTTATTTTACTTTTATAAAATTAAATTGGATAAAATAATTTTTTAATTAATTTTTTTGACAAAAAATATAAAAAGAATCAAAATTATGTTATATCATAGTGAAATCTAATTTTTAATTAAGATTTTAAATTAAATTCAACAGAGTACAAATATTCTTAATTTTGAACCAGAATCAAAATTTATTATTATAATATTAAGTTAAAATTGAAGTTTTTAATTATAATTTTAATTATAATATTTAAAATAATTATAAATACTTTACTAATGAGATTGGTTAAGTGGTAAACAGTTTAATAAGCATGTCTCGAGTTTGAGGTCATATGTATGTAAAAAGTCTTTGTCAGGAGACTGACTTATCAAAATTAGGTGTTTGATACGTATCGATCCAAATTAATCTAGAAAAGACCTTGGAGAATTGAGAGAACAAAAAATATATATATATTTTTAATAAAAATTAATTTTTATTATTATAATATCAAATAAAAAAAAACTACCCTAATCCGGCAGTTGGCATCCCTAGTCATACCATGGACTCTATACACCAAAAGGTCGGTATTTATCAAACTTTATGAAAATCCATTAACTTCTAAAAGCGTAACCGACTTTGCAGTGTAACTCTTCATTTCTTGAGATTTCTTCAGTAAAAAGAGAAAACCTGTTTTCTTCATTCTCCGGAGATTGTCAATGCATGGAGTTTATGGATGAAATTGCTGAAGATGGTTATCAAGAGTCGGCGATGATTGTTGGTAAAGATAAAGATGAAATTTCACGCGCTGCAGCGTCGAAAGACGACGAGATTGATTCTGGTTATTGTTTCGATATTTTTCTCAAAAGCGATTTGATTAAGCTGCATGAATCAAGCACTGAATATTTGATCATCACAAAAGCTTTCTTCTCTGGCATGGAAGAAAATTTGAGCAAGATGATACAAATCGTCGCGATTCATAAAATCTCCCATTCTAGTCTCCCGGCGAAAGGTCGGGCCGAAAACTTCCAGATTCTGAAGAAGGCTGTGGCCGGAAAATGCGGCGGAGATGCGAATATCAAGTACACCTGGTATAGTGGTTCCAGGGATGAGATCTGCGAGATTGTGATGCACGGATTTAGCTGGTATAGTAAGACTGCTGAAAATCAATATCGTTGTAGGAATAGCGTCTATTTGTCTGCTGCAAAGTTTTCCTTTGACAGGTTAGCCTTTTTATTCTCAACTGTTCTCTAATTGCTTTGTTGATAATTTCAAATTATCATGTAATTATTATTTATTACAAACTTTGGAATCAATTTTATTTTCCTCATTAAAGATTTTGCTGCTTTCAAATACCTGTTTCTATGATAAATTCCTTGTGTTTGATTGGATTATTACGAGCATTAGAAAGTAGTTGTATTAACTTATGTTTATAGGTTTCAACATCAAATTATTAAATGAATAATTAGGGATCCGTATTTGATGCTTCCTCGTTAAGAATAAATTAGAGGACACTTCCTCGTTAAGAATAAAGTGAGATAACACCACACTATATAAGTATATGAAAGGTGTCAAAAGATATCGACCAAAATTTTAATTAATCTCTAATAGTTAGTTTCATTTAAAACTCTTTCTTACCAATTTATAAATTGTTTTTCCACTCGTATAAAGTTGCAAATAATACCATTTGAGTTCCAAAATATGAGAACTCAATGATGAAACAAATTTCACCAATATTGGAGCTATAACTCCAACTGAGTTTTGAATGAAGATATAAGAAACAAGATTTTGCAGTGTTTTGTCTTCGAAGGTTGATGATACCGGGTTGAGGCATTTGTTGCTATGCCGCGTTATATTGGGAATGCAAGAGGTGGTGACAGGAGATTGTAATGGTCGGTTTCATCCAAGTTCGCCGGAGTTCGATTCTGGCGTAGATGATCTATCAACTCCCAGAAAATACATCATTTGGAGTACTTCCATGAATTCTCACATCCTCCCTTGTTACATCATCAGTTTTGAGGCCCCTTTCTTAAGAGGTGAGTAGCTTAGCTAAGATGTCATTTCTGTAGTGTGTACTGTGTACATCATCATCGTGGATTTAGGTATAGTTGGAAAAAAAATTATGTCTGTAACAATATTTGGCCATTGTTATTTAAATCATTGTTTTTCATTTTCTGTATGGTATATCTCATCTCTGCCTATAGTATGTAGCCATATTGATTTTTGCGTCTCCAAATGACTAGCAGATGGAGGTACCGTCAATCCTAGATCGCCATTGCTGAGGATTAACACCTTGATGTCCATGCTCTCAAGGTTTTTAGGTTCTTTAGAAATGGCTTCCCTTGAGAAACATTATAAAGATTTTCAAGTAAGTGTTTTATATACATTGATATATATTCTATCATTCTCTCAATCTCTGAATTCTAATTTTTTTCCTTTTTCTTGTTTTGACTTTTTACAAGGAGAAAAAGATTACAAAGCCACAATTGGTAGAAAGGATTAAAGAAATAGCTGGACGCCAGTTATTATCTACTATACTCAACCGGTACACAAACAAGGTGCAAATAGTTTTTTTTTTAATCTATATATTTAAAATTTAAAATTTACATTTTCCAATTTCTGCCCCTTATAAGATAAAATACACTAGAGGTCACCAAATTATACTTAGATGATCATTTTAATTACTGAACTTTCAAAAATTATAAAATAAACATTAAATTTTATTGAATTATTATAACAAGACCAATGTAACGTTTAACAAGAGTAAAAATTGATAAATTTAATCATAATTGTATAACAATTTGATAAAATTTAATGGTCATTTTAGAACAATTCGATAAATTTAATGATAAGTTTAGAGAAATCAATGATCAAAACACTCATTTAAACATAATTTTGTGACTTCTAATATATTTTTTACCCATTTATTTAAACATTAATCCATGCATATTATACTTTTCGGTTAAACTACTTGGTGTGCAAGATTGAACCATTTGCAAACAAATGCTATATTAGCTGGTGGGGTTTTAAAACCTCTTTGTATAATGAGAGTAGCATATCCCAATTTGAAAGCATCCTCCACGAGCTTTTTTTTTTGGTCTTTTGTAGCCATCCATGTCAGAATGGTCCATTGAAGTGTTTGACAATTCTCATTTTGTTTAATACTTTAATTGTTTTATGGCACCTTTTGGGGTTTTCTTGTTTCTCAAGTATAAATATTATATGACTAATTAGGTTTTGTCAAACTATTATAACTATTTTGGTATATTAATGAGAAGTCACTATCAAGGGTTAGTTAACATGATATTGTGATCGGCTTCTTGCGATATAAGTTTTCCTTTTATTTATTGCATGGAAATGACTTCGTACTAATTGTTATTCTCTTTCTACAAAAATATTTGTGCAGGAATTTCAAGGTTGCAACGGTGGAAAGTAGAAAAAAAAAACCAAAGGCCGTGGATGCAATTTGTTTGAGACCATATATGCATATGACGGTAGCTCTATAGTCTTTAGATATTGATACATGCTGTAATTCTTTGAATAGGAAACCAATACTTACACGAACTGAATGAACAGCATATATAGTTCCCACAACCAAAAACAATTGAAGAGAAAATATGAAAGATTAAATGTGTTTTTTTGTATTCAATTTCATAAAAAGCATATTTGATTGAATATTGTATTTTTTTACGTGAGATGGTTTTAGAAAAAGATATAATTGATGTATATTTTTAGGAATTATAAACAATACATGATTAAATTAGTACTATCAAAGATTAAAAATATAAAAATAAATAAATTTTATACAAAAAATATTTGTGATGTGTTTGAAGACGGCTCATGCTAATACGTGTATTCAGCATGTATGTGTACTTTTGGTAATGTTAGTTTTATGGTATTTTACTCAAAATCTAAAAATGTGTGATGTGTTTTTTCAAAATCGTATCACGTGCGTAAAAGCATATACAATCAATTATATTTTTTTTCCTAAATTTCAACTAAAGTGCACCCTTTTAAAAGTAATATTATTTTAAAATATGGTTTCATGATCATGTGGAGCTTATTGTTGAAATTTTTGGGATAAAGTTTAATTCAAATTATTCCCGTCCTAATGTATTTACTAAAATACGTTTATCTAATTTTATAATTTTTTTTACAAATAATAATTAAGGTTTTGTGTTAAAAATTTTAAAATCAATTTAAGGCATTATTTTTTTTAATATTAAGTGGACATTAAATATTTTTTTAAAAATTAAATGAAATTTTATTAAATTAAATTAAAACGAATACTAAATTAAAATTAAACTATATCTTTATTATGTCAAATCGAAATAAAAACAAAACAAAAGTATTATGCCCTTATTCGCTGTTCACATTTGTTTATGCATATTTGTGCCTTCAGAAATACCATAAACCGTATGTAGAAGCACTGATATTGGAGTTTCCACAGAGTGGTCCTTAGTCAATGTTACCTGTGGGCGGGGTGTACCTGTCAGCCAGTCAAATCAACGCAATTCGTCTAGAATCTCTCGGATAATCTTCTTCTCCCACGTGCTATTTTAGTATTTTAACCAGGCACCCTTTTGCATTTGAAAATAGATTTCTTACAAATTACATTAAAAATATTAAATAAAATCCATTTTCTTCCTTCTTTTCAGATATTTTTATATAAATATAATCTATATAAAAGTTCAGCGTGTCCATGTATTGATGATATGGAATCTTACGTGGGAAAAAACACTTTAAATATAAATTGACATTAATACACAAATTTATAATTAAAGTAATAAAAGAATATAATTAATATAGAATTAATATTTTAAAAATTCAATCAAGACGTGTAAAATATATATATTAATTGCAAGTCTAATTATAAATATTAATTCCAATTAATCAATTAATAAATCGAAAATCAGTGATTATAACAAACAATGATAAGTTACTTTTTCTATCACTCAATTTTCTTTTCACTACTATATTATTATATAGTTTAAAACGTTTAATTTAATAATCAAAATTTGAATTACTCATGTTTTGACAACTATATCTTTAAATAATTAACGACATTATAATATGACAATTTACATCAAAATAATTTCATTTTGGATCCCTATAGAAAATCAAATTTAGACCAAAATAATATTATTTTGGATTCGTATAAAAATGTATATTTTCTTTTTGTTGTCATCCCTTCTTTCCTTCTTTCTTCTCATTCTTATTCTTTGTATCCATCTCTTTTCTTTTTCTTTCTCTTCCTCAAATTGAATCAAACTCAGATTTTGACAATCGTGTTGACCATCATTCTAACATTCATCAACCATCATCACTAAAAGCCAATGAATCTTGAAATTTTTCATCAAATCTATTTCATCATTTTGAACACGAATTTGATGTTCGTTTAATCAGAAAATACCTTAAAGATCTACAAATTTACCATTTGACAATCTCAATTGTTGAACACCAACTTCCCGACATCACTTCTAACTAACAATAATATCGTTGAATTCAAATTCTTCCTCTAAAGCATCTTGATTTAGTTTCTCATAAAAACTCCCTAAAAGCTTCAAAATTTGTTCCAAACTTTCAACCTTTTACATTCATTGATTTCAACATTTGATTCTTAAATCAAAACAATTTTGAAATATATATTTTTTTCGGCGTCCACCTTTTCACCTTTGAAATTCTCCATTCGACAAATAAAATGTTGGGAGCTAAAATTAGATTTATGACCGAAAAATAATTTCAAGGTTTGATTGAGATTTAAGCTTTTATGGGTTGATTGTAGTTTATTGATTCAGGTGAAAACAAAGACCGAATTCAAATTCAATGATTAAAATATATCGGTTTAAATATTTTGGGCCTAATGAAAATTGACAACGATAATCGATGTAATTTCTAGCCTGAAAAATTAATAAAAATACCAGATCAACGTATAATTAGATAGATAAACAACTGAGTGACTAAAACAAAAATCAATTTGAGTTAATGATTAAATTAAAAAAAATCAATTTAAAGACTAAAATAAGAGTGAGAAAAAAATTAAGTGATAATTTGTGTAATTTACCCGAATTAAAATTGCAAGTAGGCAACTCCAATGAAAATTCCGACATAGAATCGTCATTCTTTAGCTTTTCTATTTTTGTTCATTTAGAATATCGCCCGCGTTTACCTACTTTACCTCCAATATTTCCGCGTTTATAATTTCTTTATTAATACCCCACAGCTTCAATCCCACAGACTACATTTTTCAATTTATCTATTTGATTTTCATGTTCTTGTGTTTTGGTTAACGTTGCAAACCATGAATTCTTCTTTGTCTTTATCACCAAGGTTTAATAATTATTCCGACGACGACGAGTTCAGCCATGATTTTGGATTCAAATTACAGCTCAAAGAAGACGGAACGGCGGAGGAAGACGAAGAGTTTTCGTTTGTTTGTGTAAATGCCGACGGATCCCCTGTTTCTGCCAACGACGTGTTCCAAAACGGACATATCCGTCCCGTTTTCCCGTTATTCAACCAAGATCTTCTCTTAGCCGAAGAGGACGGCTCAGTTTCGAAATCGAATGACGGTGACGTGTCACCACGGCCGCCGCTGAGGAAGCTTTTCGTGGAAGATTCGCCCGACACGTTGGAACCGGTGGGACCATACTGCGAGTGGAAGAGAGATGATAGAATAGCCGTGGAGGCAACGTCATCGGACACGTGTAAGAAGAGCAACTCCACGGGATTCTCCAAGCTTCGGAGGGTCCGAGATTTGATGCTCCGAAGTAACAGCGACGGAAAAGACGCGTTTGTCTTGTTGAACCACCCGTTTCCTTTCTCCGCTTCGGCGGCGAAAATCGAGAAGAAGAAGGAAATGGAGGAGAAGAAAGTGAAGGTGAAGGTGGTGGGAGAGAAACCGCCGAATGGGAAGAAAGATAAGAGTGAGAAAACGGCGTCGTTGTCGGCCCACGAAAAGCTTTACGTTACGAACAGAGCCATGAGGGAAGGGGATAAACGGCGGTCTTATTTGCCGATACGGCAGGTTGGTTTTTTCACTAACGTCAATGGACTCAGCAGAAATGTTCATCCATTTTAGGATTCAATTAAATTATTTAATTCAATTTGTTATGTAACAATATTAATTCAATGTTTGTTCATTTTTTTAAAATGTTTCATTTATCTGAAAAAAAAACAGAAAGTTCTGTATAAACTGCTTAAATAATTAAAACCAATAACTTTTATGATAAAATTAAAAAATAAAAACATATGATAAAATTAAAAAATTAAAAAAAATATTTTGTTTGAAAATTAAATCTGTTTAGAAAATAAATTTTTTAAAAAATACATTTTATATAATTTATATAATATATAATTTAAATAATAATACCATATATATTTTGGATTGTAAATGGTTATAATTTAAATGAAAAAAATATAAAACTACTAAAATAACTATTTATTATGCACACACATTGATTAAAAATAATATAGAGTAATCTCAATAACTAATTTTTACTATTTAGTAATGATATACTTTGGGTGGAATGCAAATTTTTAGACAGTTTAACCTATAATTTTATAACTTTTTTCAAATTAGTCCAATATTAATTATATTAACATTATATATACAAAAGTAATCACAATACGAAATGAAATTTATGATTTATACATAAACATATTAATTATACGATACCAAATGAAATTATAATTATCTTTTCATTTTCTGGAATTTCTCCCTCTCGTAATTTTTTCTTATTGGTAAGTCGTTTATCTCTTTTTTATTTTGTCTTTGTTGATCGACAGTGACGCCAACTTTAATGTTGGTTGCCGACCGCTAGTATTGTTTATTGTCATTTTATTTCTTATATAACATATTTATTTTTTTTTCTTTTTTATTTTCAAAAAGTTTGCATGTATGACATATTTTTCTCTGTATTTATAACACATTTTCCTCTATCTTCATACGACGTTTTCTTCTGTCTTTTAACATATTTTTTTGACATTTTGGTCGTTGTTTTCACTTATTTTTTTTTCTAAGGGTTGATTTGACATTACCACGACCGATCAAGATAGCGGTTATATGTTACATCTTTTCTACTTTGGACCCTCGAATTAGATTTGGATACCCATTATGTGTTCGTAGATAGTTTTTTATGTCGCTCAAGTTTGATTTGCAGTTTGTCAATAGATTTTCAATAGCTTGATATCATTTTCTAATTCATTTGCCAATGCGATCAGATTTGTTTGTACATATCTTTGTTTGAGCTTTCTTGGTTATATTTTAATCTTTTATTGTATGTTTCTTATGTGATCTTAAGTTACTAGTTTTATTTCAATGATTATAAGAAATTGTTACAATTACCCTTTTAATTTACGATTATGATTATAAATCTTTATTTTAATTTAAAATATTTTCTATTTTAAATAAAATGAGTTAAAAAAATAATTATAATTATAATTTACATTATGTTATGAGTTTGATCCCGGACAACCATGTTCTTTTTTATAATAAAAAAATTAATAAAAAAAATGTACACGACACCGTTTTCTGTTTCTAAAAACAGAAAAAGGAATACAATAACGTGGACGGCTAGGATTTGCACAAATTGTATCGAAGATAACTCTGGACATCGACGCGTATGAAAGGCTTTGACTGTGGAAACTAGTAAACCATTGTTTCAGAATCCAAACAGATCTCCTCTCCTTATCTCACTTACTTGGATTTCGCTCTCCAAATCTCCCAAGGTAACGTCCAACTCTAAATTTACTTTTTAAACTCTCGCCTTTGTTCTTTAAATCTACTTTCCTCCCAGTTTACAGTTTTTCTTTTTCAGTTCGCGTGCTTTTCCAGTGGAAACGTTTACCCTCGTTTCATACGATTCTCTTAAATTATCAGACACGAAACTAAGAAGAATCTGTTTCGTTAGATTTGATTCATGTAGGTCAGTTGTTTGTGTGTTTCTCTATATAAATCTATAATTTTAGGCAAAAGTTAGGGGTTTTACTCTTGTATCTATAATTATTGACTAGGATTTAAGTTGTGGTTCTTATAGATGGAATTTCGAATTGCACAGATCCAAGTGTTTCTTTCGTTGCTAAAATTAACCCTTTTTTTAACGAATTGTTTGGATCAGAACTTTTGTTAAAATATCAATCAGAGTTTCATACCATTTTAGGTTTGAAAGAAATAAATAAATCTGGAATGTAGTATATCATCTGATGTAATTCCCTCTCTTTTCTTGTAGTTTTGCTGATGATCTATTTCTTTATGCTTTTCTATAGGTACTGAAATGGCAGAATCAAAGCCGTTGAGGAAACCTGTTTCCACCAAGGTGGACCAACTTCGTGCTGAAATTAAAAAAAAAATGGTAGCGGCTGATTTGGTCACAGTATATTTTTGTTGAAATTTGGTCATTTTCCCTTACCAAAATTTCAACAAAAATATGCTGTCAACTTGGACTAAATCAGCCGATCCATTAATGCTGTCATCTTGGACCAAATCAGTCGTCCCATTAATGTTGTCATTGTTTTACTTTCAACAATCTCTTATTTAAAGATTTAATTAGAGCAATCATATCTTCATATTATTTTTTCTATCTTGTACTATTCATGTTGCTTACGTCTCTGACAGACCACATGATGACAGACACCAAGTAAATTTATCAGCATTGATCGCAATCGTCAAGAAATCTGTTAAGTTATCTTTGGTATGAATTTTCTGTATATCTACCGTCCATTCTTTCACATTTTCACGAATGAAATGGTATTGAACTCGTATGTGTTTTGTTCTTGAATGAAATGTTGGATTCCTTGCTAAATGCAAGTCGCTTTGACTGTCACAAAACACAGAGACATACTTTTGATTGTGCTGAAACTCTTCCAATAGCATTTTCAACCATATTGCTTCTTTACTGGCTTGTGTAGCTGCTATATATTCTGTCTCTGTTATGGACGTAACACAACTGTCTGTAATTTTGAAACTCAACTTACAGCTCAATCAGCAACTTTAAACATATATCATGTAGTAGATTTGATTTTATCTAAATCTCCTGTATTGTCAGAATCAACATACCCATTGATAAGTAAATTTAATCTTCCGTAACATAATGCAACATTTGAGGTCCATTTAAGTCATATATCGACTAACCACTCCCACCGTTTATGCGATGTCTGGTCTTGTGCATATCATAGCGAACATTAAACTTCTTACTGCCGATTCATACGGTACTCGAGACATCTCTATCTTCTCTATCATCTCTTATTTACTGCTAGAACTCATATTGGAGGATAATTTGAAGTTAATAGGAAGAGGTGTAGAAATTGACATATAATATTGCATGTTGAATCGTGACAATATCTTCTTCAAGTAATTCTTTTGTGAAAGTTAAATCTTTCTATTATTCATGTATCGGTGAATTTGTATCCCTAGAATCTTGTTTGCTGACCTCAAGTCCTTCATTTCAAATTCCCTAGCTAGTTGTGTCATCAATTCTTTAATATGACTTTTGTTGGGTCCTGCAACAAACATGTCATCCACATAAAACAACAATATAACAAAATTGTTATCACCAAACATCTTGAAATAAACTTAAAGGTCTGCATTAAGTCTGTTGTATCCGAGACACATAATGAAGAAATTAAATCTCTTATACCAACCTCGGCGCCTACTTTAGACCGTACATAGATTTGTTCAACCTGCAAACCAAATTCTTCTTTTCTTTTTCTTCAAAACCTTCAGGCTGGAGCATGTAAATCTCTTCTTCAAGATTTCCATGAAGAAAAGTTGTTTTAATATCTAACTGCTCTAGATGTAAATTCAATGTAGCACACATTGCTAAGATTACTCGAACTGTTGTTAGTCGAAATAGAGGAGAAAAGATTTTATTAAAATTAATACCTTCTTTTTTAGTATATCTTTTAACTACCAGCCTTGCACGATACCTCTTAACTTGATTGTTACTATTTCGCTTGATTTTGAAGATCATTTTGTTACCAATTGGCTTCCTTCATTGTTGTAGTGACACAATGTCTTATGTATTATTTTTATGAAGGGTTTCAATTTCTTCTTGCATCGCCATCATCCACAGTGAAACATCTGAGTTGTTTATTGCCTCCCGATATGTTGATGACTCACTGTCCTCTGTTAAAAGGTATTATGCAATATTTCTTTCTATAATATAATCTAAGTGTCAATTGAGACGTTTTTTCACACGATCTGATTGACGAGTTATTAGAGCTTTAGAACTCTCTAGTTTTTGTTCATCATCTAATGGTTTTGCTTCAGAAGAATCTCTTTGTTCAAACTCCTTTTTCCACATGTATTTGTGTAGTCTCTGACTTTTCAGTTCTATCATCTTCTTTTCTTTGTAGTTTATATTCTACAAAGATAACATCTCTGTTGATGATCACTTTGTGGGCAGTGGGATCCCACAAACGATACCCCTTTACACTATCAACATACCTCAAGAATTTAAATTTCCTGGATTTTGGATTAAACTTTGAAATTTCTTGGTAATTGTACATCACATACACAATACCTCCAAATATATGGAGGTTTAAATAATCAGCTGTTTTACCAGTTCACATCTCTATTGGCGTCTTCAGCTTTATTGCAGTTGATGGAGCTCGATTTACCAAATAACAAGCGGTATTGACTGCTTCAGCCTAAAATTATTTTTTTAGGTCTGTAACCCTTAACATTGCTCTTGTTCTTTCTAACAAGATTCTGTTCATCTGCTCTATTACTCCATTTTGTTGACGAGTGTTCGCCACTGTTAATTGTCTTTTGATGTATTCTTTCCTGTAAAAGTCATCAAATTCTTCACTTGTGTATTTTTCTCCATTATCTATTCTGAAACACTTGATCTTATTTCTAGAATCAAGTTCCACCCGTTTTGAAGTTTTTGAAAGTTGAAAATACATCTAACTTCTTCTTAATATGGTACATCCAACATCTCCTGGAGTAGTCATCATTAAATGAGACAAAATATTTTGCTCCGGCTAAGGATGTAACTACTGATTGTCATACGTCAGAATGAACCAATTCTAGAACACTTTTACCTAGAATTGAACGTGTTGAATTTCAACCAGTGCTGCTTACTTGTTATACAATGTTGCTTACTTGTTATACAATGGTCATACAAAGTAAGTGATACATTTATTAAGTCTGGAAGTAGCTTTTGCTCCACAAAGACTTTCAGTTCTTATTCTGACATGTGTCCAAATTTCTGATGCCATAGCATTGTAAAATCTGAATCACATGAGGCAACAGAGGCTTCTGCTTCTAACAAAGTCTCTCATTTCAGCATGTATAAGTTTGTTGCTATATTTTCGCATTTATCACCACAAGCGCTCCACGGAATACCTTCATTATTCATTTCCGTGTTTCAATCTTACTTGCATTATTATCCAACAATCCATAGAATAATAAAATTTTCTTCAGGCCTTTCACGTTACGTACACTTGAACAACTTTAATTGTTTCATCATACATTTTTAATTTGATGGTTCAAACGACAACGATCTCTAAGGCATGATCATTGCAACTATATACAGATCTTCCTAAGACATGTTCATAATGATGTAACCATTCTCTTCTTAAGGTCATGTGATATGTTGCTTCTGAATCAATGAGTCATATATCTGCAAATCTCTTTCTACCTTCCATGGTGGTTGACGCTTCACAACATAGAGTATTTTTATCATCTGAAGTGTTTGCGGTATTGCTTTATGGATTGTAGTTTTTACCTAGACTCCAATAATCCTTATTCAAATGACAATTCTTTTCATAGTTGTAGCACTTTAAATTCTTTTTGTTTCTCGACTTTGATCTACCATGTTTGTGACTACTGCTTTGGTAATGTTATGTTGATCTCCCTCTCATCGTTATCAACGCTTCTGCTTGTTGCAAATTTATTTGTCTGTCTTCCTTGATCTTGTGTCGATTTTCTTCTTGTAGAACAACAACTGCAACGTCATCGAAGACTACTGGTGACATTATTGTTTGTCAAGTTGATGATGAGTTGATCATACGAATTCGGTAGACTTTGAAGTAGAAGTTTAACACGTTATTTTTCTCCTATTGTACATCTTAAGGATGTAAACTGAGAAAATAAAGTGTTCAGTGTATTTAAGTGTTCCGTCACTGAAGTAAATTCTGGCATCCGTAGAGTGTACAATTTCCTTTTAAGGAAAATTTTATTGTGCAACGATGTGACCTCGTACAGTTTGGTAAGATGATCACATATCTCCTTAGTTGTCTTCGTCTCCTCAATGCTTGACAATACTTCATCTGCTAATGCTTGACAATACTTCATCTTCTAATGCTAGATGAAAGTTTGTCACATCATTTCCATCTATCTCGTTCCATTTGTTGTCATTTGTGAAATTTACCAACCTTTCACTGATAGCCGTTAGAAAATCGTCTTTCCTTAGGATGATTTTCATCTTCAATTTCCATAATGAGAAATTTCTCTCATTGAATTTTTCAATATCAAATTTCTTTGCCATATCTTTTATTACGGATAGCTCCCACTATTTTACTATCGTGAATAGTTCTCTGGAACCTTCAAAAAATGTGTAATAACTTCTTAATTTCTTATGTTGGAGAATCCATCTTTTGGTGGCAACCACAAAGACAATAAATATATATTACACACTCAAATCTGACTCTGATGCCAATTGTTGCGGAATACGGTTATCAGATAGATCAAAATCACAACTGATAATTTGAGAAAATAAAAAAATGAAAATAAAGAAGACACAAATTTTACGTGAAAAACCCCTAAATAATATAGGTTAAAAACCACGGGCAAAGATAGAAAAATTTACTATGAGAAAATAGGAATTATAACTTTCGATCTAACAAGGAGAAAACAATGACAATTCTCTCTTGATAAAAAGGAGAAAACAACTCTCAAGAAAACTCTCTAAATTCTCTAGTATTGGGAGAAAGTTAGAATGATTTGGAATGGTTTTGAAACTAAATGGATTAGAGTATTTATAGTTGAAGTTTAAGGATTAATCTTGTAAATATCTTTAAGTACAAGGACAAAATTAGGTAATTTTCTCTTACCAAAATTTCAAAAAAATATACTGTCAACTTGGACCAAATCAGCGATCCCATTAATGCTGTCATCTTAGACCAAATCAGTCACCCCATTACTGTTGCCATTTTTTTTGTCTTTCAACACTTCGTTCGGGCACCAGTGGTCACACGCTTACTGTCAAGGTTGTTAGTACAAAAATGTTGTTGCAGAAGGCTCGTGCTGATGGTCCTCAAGTTCGTCAAACGCGAATTGCTGAATGCTTGGTTGGAGATGAGACAGGAATGATTATCTTTACCGCCGGAAATGATCAAGGTATATTCTTTAAAATTTCTCCTTATGCAGCTTTGTTTATGCAATATTATTACTTTTGTTTTTGATAGAGTTTTGACTTCTCATACATCTTGCCGTTTTGCATTCAGTTATTTTTTGTTTGATTGTATTTTCTCTTGTTTCCTTTTATATGTGTAATGTTGCATTGGCTTCATAGAGTTTAACTAGTAGTCACAATAGTAAATTGTGTTTGATTTGGTTATATGTTTTTTATTGCATTCTGTAAGTAAAGAAGTAATGATATAGATTTGGTAAAGTTTTTTTAGCAGAGTTTATCTGACAAAGCGTCCAAAGTGCTTGGGAAATCTCTAATGTAAACTGTTTCTATGCTCCACTAATGTGTAACCTTATCTTTTTAACTTACAAATTTGAAGTGAAGAAGTAAATCAACAACAGTCTTAATGGTTGCCATTAAAAGATGTTAAATTTACGCATCTATTAAAAAATATTTTAAGAGAATGTGAATAAAACCCAAGTTCTTTACATTGCCATGTTGCACCTTATAACTGAACCATCTTTCCCGCTTTTGACATGCATTTGTCCATCCCCAACGACACCTTGTAAATCCCCCAAATCTCTACTCTACCCCCACTAAATGGTTCAAGTTCAGCTCGAACCTTCAAAACCCTTCTCTCCTTAGCTCTCTCCGCCATCTTTTTTGTTCACCAATGATCTCAAATTTTGCTCTCAAAACCATCTCCCAGTACCCTAACATGCTTTCCAACATGGGTCCTATCTTCTTCACTTAATGGACTGTCCTAGTGTATACGTCAACACATTGTTGATGGTGGTAGCAGAAGGTTTAGCTATGATGTTTCATTTGTGCCCTTTGTTTCTAAGAGTGACCTGGAGTGATATAAATGCTAGATTTGCCTTTCACTATCTCACTTATAGACTTGTAGTTACCGGCCACAATTTATTAGCATCATCTAGCACCATAGTGCACATCTTAATTATACCAAATGGAAGAGAAACAGTCCTTTGACTACCTGAGTATTTTGGATGTCTACTTCTCTGTGGCCGTCTTAAATTCCATTTACGTCCAGTCAGTGCAAATATTATACAGCAACATCTATGATGTCATATTTTATTATGGTGCATTCTTGAACTCTGCTAGATTACATTTGAGGTGTTGAGTACTTTTTTCCGGCACAGTTTTACATGGAATTCAGTAATCCTTTGTTTTCCCCTTTCTTACCAATGGAAACACCTCTTTTTCGAATTAATCTGAAGAGGAAAGAGAAATTTCATGATCACACCTAATGACTATTAATATGCTTTCTTGATCATTATATTCATCATGTGGTATTACCAACCAATGAAGGTGACGACTTGTTTTATTTGTTTCCAGTGTTAACTATAACTAACAGTACGGTCATGGTTTTTGTAGTGGACTTAATGAAAGAGGGAAGCACTGTAACATTTCGCAATGCGAAAATTGACATGTTTAAGGGATCAATGAGGCTTGCAGTGGACAAGTGGGGTCGGGTTGAGGTTGCTGGACCTGCTAGTTTTTCGGTGAAGGAAGATAAAAATCTTCACTGACCGAATATGAACTCGTTAATGTTGTTGAAGAGTGACCCTTTCTGAATGGTGTTTTCTTTGCTTTATATCGTGACCCAAGAATAAAATCGATGCCAGTACACATGTTATTCCGATCTACACGACATCTCATCTTCAAATAGGCTTGAGGAAGTTGAGTTTTAGGAAAGAAGAAATCTGGAAGCTACTGTCAGTACTCTGAAGTTGCTTGTTGTCTTTGCACCAAATCCAGCAGAACCTTTTCGGTTGGAGGTATTGTGATGGCTGTAGAATTTAGGGTTTTGGAACTTGCTTTCATGTGTTACTTCCTTCCTTCTCTAGGCTGCAACCGTTTTGGCTTCTATGTTATACTCGACAAGTTTAATATGATGAAGTGTATGGCTTCATGCTTCTTAAACTTATTTTATCTCTTGCTTGTCTAATTGTTTCAAATTACATCCTTATACTTTGATTTGTCAGAATTTGGTCCTAGAAGTTAATTCAATTGGTTGTTGATTTGTTAGCATCTCCCAGTTTGCTTAAAATTCATGTCAAATATAACATTAAAAAGAAGAAAGTTTAGCTATTTTTAACCTCAATGATCTTTATATAGGATGACAAAGTTAAAATAAAGGAATTATGATATAAAATAAGCAATTGTGTTGCTTTTTTATTACTTGGGGCATGTTTGGACGCTATAAAGTATATGTATGAATATGTAATTACTACTCTAGTAATTACGGTCACGCGTAATTACAAGAAATTATTTATTTTTTAGACATGTTTAACTATAGAGTATAATTTCATTATAACTTTTTATATTATGTTTGATAGTATATATTGTAATTACATGATTTTGTAAGTTTAAATTATAAAATAATACTGTTCTAAAATTGAAGAACATAATTACATATATATTCACATCGTGAGAATTAAAGAGTATAATCGAGACGTCCAGTTACTCATTGAGACTTACAAATTACAAAGATTATTTAAATTCGTCACAAATGTGTACTTATATTCAAATCCAATTATAAGGTGACATTTCAAATGAGCCCTATTATTTTAAAATTTAAACTTATATAATTGTTTAATTACAAGTTGCACTATCAAACATAACATAAACAATTCTAATGTAATTACACTTCCGAGTCAAACACGTCCATGGAATAAAAATTTTTGTAATACACTCTCTTACTGAAATAATAGTTACATTTTCATGCAATTATACTATGATGTCCAAACGCGACCCTGTTATGTCTTCGTACATACAAATTAACAAATCTTGAGTGAAAAGAAAAACACTTGAAAAATCCAAGTCGTTCTCACCTTTTGGTACATGCATCAATGTGTGTGAGTATATATATAAATTGATGATGGTAGGAATGGAAAGCTTTCAGCACCTGCTATGTATGTGCATTCATGTGGGGATTCATTATCGTTTGATGGATAATCCAATGTGAGAGGAGAGGATCACTCACATGGATGATAATGAACTATTCCATATATCGAAATAAAAACGAGAAAATAAAACATGATCATGAACAAAGGGGAAAATGGTTGTAATATTGTCGGTCGATACCCTAAATAACATAAATTTATTATAGACATAATGATTTGACATTTTATATCTATAAATGTATATGCTATGATATATACGTTGATAGATGTATCAAAGAAACGAAAAAAACGTTGATAGAGTTTGGCTACCAAAATTATAAGGACATTTTTTGAAATATTCATGTAAGATACGTGGAACAAATAGGGTTAATATCATTGTTTTGTATTGGACTTTGTTTTTGTTATGAGTAATTATAAAATTTTATTGGGTACTCTTTTCCTTCTTTCACTTTTCGACGTTGAACTTTGTTTAACGTCAATTATGATGGAGGTTTTTAACGAGATTTCATGTTCCCTTCAAAAAAAATATCATTAGAAACTCATGTTATATATATATATATATATATATATATATATATATTATATTGATAGTTTAATTTTATATTTATTAAAATTTTAATATATTTTTTTTAAAGATTCACACCTTAAATCTTAAATCTTAGACAGAAAAAATTATATTAAAATAGAAAATATTATATAAATTAAATTTTGTACAACTTATATATCGAATAATTTTCTTTAAAAAATATATATTTCTTTGTTTAATTTTTTAAACCGTAGAATTCTAAAAGCATAGAATTGGTTGAGTCAAACAATTTGCATCTTTTCACACAAACGTGAAGACGATTTTAAAGGACGATATTAAAAATGAACATGAATCTCCCATGGTGTCTTGAATCTCTATTCTTTTTTTATTTGTGGGTCTGTGTTGAAAATTAGAAAAAACTGAGATTGAATAATCCTGCTTGTTATTAGAATGAGTATAATACAAGTATATATACAGTTTTAATCTAATTAACTAACTGACAATTAGTTATAATTAAAATAGAAAATAACAAATTTAACTTCTAACACTCCCCTCAAGTTGAAGAGTAAAAGATATCTTTTACACCCAACTTGGATACAAGATATTCATGTTGTTGCACACCAAGAGCTTTAGTAAATATATCTGCTAATTGTTCTGAAGAAGACACAAATTCTGTCTTGATAAGCCCTTCTTGTATTTTCTCTCTTACAAAGTGGCAGTCAATCTCTATATGCTTTGTTCGCTCATGATAAACTGGATTTGCTGCAATCTGAAGAGCAGCCTTGTTATCATATAGCTTGATCGGATATTTTCTTTCCAACCCAAGCTCGTTGGCCAAACCATTTAACTAAGTCAATTCTGCTGATGCAACAACCATGCTTCTATATTTTGCTTCAGCAGATGATCTGGCTATAATATTTTGCTTCTTAGATTTCCATGAAATCAGAGAACTTCCAAACTTGATGCAAAAACCAGAAACAGACCTTCTCGTGATTGGACACGCAGCCCAATCCGAATCACAATATGTTTCAAGTTCATTGCTGTTGTTCGAATTCATCAATATCCCTTGACCTGGATTCTTTTTAATGTACCTCACTATCCTCAAAGCAGAAAACAAGTGAGATTCCTTAGGCTGTTGCATAAATTGGCTCAAGTAATGTACAACAAAGGTTATATCAAGTCTGGTATGTGTGAGGTAAATGAGTCTTCCAATAAGTCTTTGATAAACATTCTTGTCAACTAACAATTCATCTACTTCATTACTTCCTGATGTGCACAGCTTATCGTATTCTGTAGTAGTAAGCCTAATGTTCTGTTCAAGTGGTGTTTTTGTTGGTTTTGAACCACTCATTCCTGTTTCCTCAATCAACTCAAGTGCATACTTACGCTGATTAACTAGAATTCCTTCTTTTGATCTCATAATCTCAAGACCCAAAAAATACTTCAGTTCACCAAGATCTTTCATTTTAAATTTCTTGTTCAAAAGACTCTTCAAATCATCAATCAAACAATTATCATTGCCAGTGATCAACAAGTCATCAACATAAATCAACAAAACTACAATCTTTTTATCCTTTCTCATTGTGAACAAAGAATAATCAAACTTACTTTGTTCATAACCAGCCCCTAAAAGAGCCTCAGTTAACTTCAAATTCCACTGCCTAGATGCTTGTTTCAAACCATAAAGGGATTTTTGCATTCTACATACCATATTCTCCCCCTGACTGAAAAAACCAGGAGGAAGTTCCATAAACACTTCCTCAGACAAATCTCCTTGTAAAAAAGCATTATACACATCAAGCTGAAACAGAGGCCAATAAAAAAACAGAAGCAATGGCAAGGAGAAAACGAACAGTGACTAACTTAACCACTGGTGAGAAGGTATCCACATAGTTTACACCCTCCTTCTGACTATAGCCTTTGGCTACCAACCTGGCCTTAAACCTTTCGATAGTACCAGCAGCATTGTATTTAATCCTATAGACCCATTTACAGCTAATAGGGACTTTTCCAGGAGGTAAAGATACAACTGACCAAGTTTTATTTGTTTCAAGGGCAAGAATTTCATCTTTCATAGCCTGTACCCACTCTGGATGTTGAATTGCCTCATGATAGGATGTAGGTTCAATAGATTTTGAAATAGAAGAAACAAAGGATTGTGTACCAAAAGGAAGATGTTGATAGGAAATATAATCTGAAATGGGATAATTGGAAGTAGAAATAGAATTACAAATGAAATCAGTTAACCATTGAGGTTGTTTAGAAACCCTAGTAGATTTCCTAACCAAGACTGGAGCTACTGGACCTATAGGATTTTATAGCTGTTGTGATGATTACCTAGATTCAGAACTGGAAGGAGAATCAGATGAAGCAACAGGAACAAGTTGTTGCCCAAAAGAGAGGTCTAAAAATTCAGAATCAGGAATGAAATGAGTAGAAGAAAAGAAAGAATCACTTTGAACAGGAAAGTGAAAGGGAAATACCTGTTCATGAAAAATAACATCCCTATTGACAAAAAATTTCTTAGAGGTAAGATTAAACAAGAGATAGCCTTTTTCAGTGTTTGAGTATCCCATAAAAATAGAAGGCAAAGCTCTAGGAGCAAACTTATCAGTTTGTTTAGGAACAGTAGCATAACATAAGCAGCCAAAAACTTTTAGAATAGACATATCAGGAGGTTTGTGATAAAGAATTTCATAAGGTGTTTGCCATTGTAAAACAGAAGAAGGGAGTCTGTTTATAAGGAAACAAGCTGTCAAGACACATTCACCCCAGAATTTAATAGGCACTTTTGAATGAAAACGTAAAGCCCTAGCTACTTCTAAAAGATGTCTATGTTTTCTTTCTGCAACTCCATTTTGCTGTGGAGTTTGAACACAAGAACTTTGATGCAAAATACCAAGAGAAGAAAAAAAGGAGAGCAATAAGAATTGAAAAATTCTGTACCAATGTCACTTCTAATTATTTTAGTAACAGAAGCAAATTGAGTGGAGGTAAATGAGAGAAACTGTTTGAGAAACAAACACATCATTTTTAAGCCTTAAGAGATACCCAAGTCATTCTAGTGCAATCATCAACAATAGTCAAGAAAAACCTATGACCACTATGAGTAGATATCCTATAAGGACCCCATAAATCTATATGAATTAATTCAAAAGGTTTTGATGACCTAGTAGTACTGAGAGGAAATTGTAATCTGGTCTGTTTTGCTAAAGGAAACACACTGCAAGTATGAATAGACTTTATATCAAATTTATCAGAAACATAAGAGGATAATTTTTTCATAGCAGAAGCAGATGCATGCCCAAATCTAGCATGCCAAAGACTAGTTTTATTGAAATCAGAAACAGTAGGTACATGATGAACACAAGAATTAACCCCAGAACCAATCAAAGAATTAGAAATCAAACCAGTAGCTCCTTTAGTAGACTCAAAAATATAAAGGCCATTAAGCTTTCTACCAATCCCCTTGATCATGCCACTGTAAAGATCCTGCAATATACAAATGTCAGGATGAAAGGAAAAAATACAGGCATGATCTTTGACAAGCTGAGAAACAGAAAGTGAGTTGTGAGCAAAACTGGGAACAAACAAAACATTAGACAAAACCAGATCATATGTTAACCTATGAGACCCTATATGAGACACAAGTTCAGTTTGACCATTAGGAAGATGAATATAACGATGGGCAGAACATAAAATTGGAAATTGCAAACCCTTGAAATCAGACAAAATGTGGTCAGTAGCACCAGTATCAACTATCCAACGAACGCAAGAAGTATTGGAAGCAGGTAAATTACAGGCAACAGTACCTGCAAGATTCACACTGGAATCTACGGCGGAGCTTTTGTTCAATAGATGCAAAATCTGATTGTATTGCAGAGAAGTAAAGGTGGGAACAGCTGATACAGGAGAGGAAACTGTCGAAGCATTCTCAGACTCTCCATCCACAGTATGTACAGAATTAACTGTCATAGAAACTGGAGGAGGCTTCTTTCTGTTGAACTTGAAGTCTGGTAGAAAACCAATGAGTCGATAACATCGATCACAGCTGTGTCCCTTGATCTTACAGTATTCGCACGTCCCATTGAAACGCCTTCGTTCATTCCCTTTGGAAGTGGCTGTGAACATAACAGAAGTTTCAAGAGGTGTAGCAGACAACAGAATTCGATGCAATTCCTCTTGAGTTATCATGGAATATGCCTGATTGATGGTAGGAAGGGGCTTCATGATAAGGATCTGACTCTGAATCGCAGAGTAGGTCTCATTGAGGCCCATCAGAAATTGAAAAAGACGCTGTTGAGCCACATGCACTGAATTTTGTTGTGCAGCGTCACAATCGCAGGAAGTGAAGGGGATAAGAGCAGTGTATTCATCCCAAAGGAGCTTGAGACGAGTGAAATAAACGGATACAGATGAGTCGCCTTGAACGAGGGTAGCAATCGACCGATGTAAATAAAAAACCCTAGAACCATCGATCTTGTCAAAGCGCTCCTTAAGGTCATTCCAAACAGATTCTACGGTCGAGGCAAAAACGATGCCAGCAGAGAGATCGTTGCTGATAGAATATAGGATCCATGAGAGTACAAGAGCGTTGCAACGCTCCCATTGAGACTGCATCGGACCGTCATAATCATCTCGTCGACAGCTTCCATCGATAAAGCCAAGCTTGTTCTTGGCCAGAAGAGCGATGCGTATGGAACGGCTCCAGAGACTATAGTTTTCAAAGCCAGTGAGCTGAAGAGACACCAATTGAACACCAGGTGTATCAGAAGGAAGCAAGAAGAGTGGGTGATTTAGATCGAGTGTGATCGCCATGAACCCTAAAAAAAAGGATTTGGGGAAAAGAAACGAAATGAGAAATCTGTTGGAATGAAAAAGATGCTGCTGCTGAAGGGATACGGGCCAAAACGTTTTAGTGAGAAATGGGCCAAACAGAGAACCCATGAAGGAACGACCTGGAAACTGATACCATGTTGAAAATTAGAAAAACTGAGATTGAATAATTCTGCTTGTTATTAGAATGAGTATAATACAAGTATATATACAGTTTTAATCTAACTAACTGACAATTAGTTATAATTAAAACAGAAAATAACAAATTTAACTTCTAACAGTCTGTCTTTCAACTTGTAATTGTAACAGTATGCTAAGGGATGGCTCGAATGGGGTAGGTGAGGTAGTTGCATTTTCTAAAAAACTCAAATTAGGATATATTTCAAATATTTTCTTTGTATTTTCACTTGATAATTTATTTCAACCCCTAAAATTTTATAGATCCGTTCCCTCCTAAAATTTTAAAAGTTCACCCTTAATATAAGATTTTACGTTTGTTCCGAGTGTGCTTAATTACTCATTTCATGTTCCGTCCACATGCTTTGCAAACATAAAATGTGGTCCACTAATTGGCCTTAAAAGTGCAGTTTTCCAAAAATAAAATAAAATTTTAATATGACATGCTTCAAAATTAAAAGATCAAGCTCAATCAAATATGTTTTAATATATTTCAAAAGTTAGGAGGATCTAACAAGTAATTGTAATAAAAATCTTGAGAGACCGAAATTGCTCGCATTCGGTGACGGATTCAGAAATTTAGAAATGGGGGTCCAAAAATTTTAATAGTCTTATTTTTAATATAATGGGTATGCAAAATTTCTTTTTTTTTCTTCTTTTAATATATTGAGCCATATTGAATATCTAATCTAAAATAATGGGTGTGCATTTGGCCCCCTATATGGCCATATGCATCTGCCCCTGCTCGCATTATACATATGGTTCTATCCTTACATATGAAGTCTTTACGAGTGAAGTTATAAAATTTTTCTCATACTTTTTATTTTTTAAATATTCCAGTTATTATAAGTTAACATCTGCTTAAAATCATTTATAATTATTAATAATGTACACATTTCCTAAAAATATAATTGTTTAAATTTGAATCTATTGAAAAGAATAACGATCTCTTTTAAACAAATATTATTTTTGACAAAACTTAATTCCTACCGATAAAGGCGTAAGTTTACGATCGAAAGGACCAATATGAAATTGCCACGTAGTTTTATTGCTAAAATAATCATCTTTAACAAATAAAAGGGTTAATTACTTAGTTGGCCCCTTTACTTCCTAAACAATCTTCAACCTTTAGACAGCCACTCCCTACTCCCCACCATAACAACCATCGTCTTCTCCAATCCCTCACATAAACCCTTCACCATTTGCTTTGCAATTTGGAACCCATTAACTTAGAGGCAAACAAGTAATCACATTCGAGGACTAAATAAACCTTTATCCTTAAATTCGGGGACTAATTCTACAATCCAAATTTAAAATTTAAAACAATATCTAACATGGTCCATATCAGCATTAAAAATGAACCGAAAAAAACAATGGACATGAGCCCTTTGGTTTCTTTTCTCGTACAGAAAGGACAGGGGGTCTTGAATACTTCAATCCATGCATGCATAATTAATTTCTGCAATCTAATTTTTCTAAGCCTAATTGTAGACATTAATTTAAGTTAGTTGGAGAATTAATTAGAGGTACATGCGCGATAATTAGGTTTCGATCATGAAAGCATATGCAGCAAAATAATAGTGCTTCTCATAATAGCTATCACAATTGCAGAAGAACAATGATGTATCTGCAAGAGCATGCAACAAGGAATTGGGTTACTTGGAATTATGGCGACCACCCACACTTTTTCTTCCATTAATTTCTTTTCAACCAAAATTCAAAGCATGCTAGGGAACAGGGGTTTTGATCTATCGCTTTCTACCATTTTAAATCTTAATTTCTCTTATTTTTAATTTAATCCGATTCAAATAATATAACAATTTCATTCTAAATTAAATTTATTATGATACTAATAACATGGACGGACATAATATTTTATGCTAGGGGACATACTTTTAGAATTTTAGGAGAGAATGATTTATAAAATTCTAACAGATGAAAACTTATTATTAATATAAAAAATAAAAATAAAATTTCTTAAATATATGATAATTGAAAATTTTCCATATGCTCGATTCATCCTGATTAATCTGATTAATAAGATTACTCAATCAAATTAAAGTTAACTATCAAATGATCAACTCTCTCTGCTAGTCATCAGGAAACTAATATAGTTATTTCATAAAACTTCGTAATGGAAGTTAAAAAGATGATAATATTATGGTATAATATTAAAGTTCACCCCTAAAATTTGATGAAATAATTATTTTAATTCTTATTTTTTTAACACCTTAACTTCTAACATTTTATTTTGAGACAAAATGTCCTTTAATTAGATAAAAATTGCTACTTGACTAATAGTCAACGTTTGTTGCTAACTTGTTAATTCTTATGTGTCCAAAATGATAATGTGATATGTTCCAAGTCATCGCTTTGGACACGTGACAATGTCACGTCATTACCTTGGACATGTGATATGTGTCACGCTATCATTTTAAACACATGACACATTATTACTTTAGATATATAATACTTGTCATGTCAACATAAACATTGATTATTAGTTAACTAATGGTTTCCATCCAATCAATAGACACTTTATTTACCAACAACCAATTGGTTTAGTGTGATGAGGCACTAGGTCCCTTAAACAAGGTTAGGGGTTCGAATCTTGGCGTTTGCGATGAAGCAAACTGGGTTGGTAGGGTCGTCCTCGTCTATGCAGTACCCGATCTAGATTAATCAGTAAATAGATCAGATACTAGTGATTAATTCAACAAAAAAATAGACACTTTATCTCAAAATGAAACGTTGAGATCAAAATACTAAAAAAAAATAGATGCCATAATATTATCCTATAATAATCTAATAATTAAAATTTTATAAAATAAAAACAACAAAACCCTAACTTTTTTATTGAATTCTCCAAAGAAACTAATAGGTACCTATAAAGGAAGAGACCACGTTGCTACTAAATTACTTGTTTTACAAGGAAAAAACTAAGAAACACAAACAACTAAGTTACTAGTTTAACCAGTATATATTACTTTTACTTCACATTAATGATCCCATCATATTCACGTAAGTCTTTGACTAAATGCAACTCAATTATACCTCAACTCTAATCTGGGATTAATATGTCAATAAATCACAAATCATACCAATTATTAGCTAAATCTTCCGTAGTAAAGCTTAGAAGACTATTTAGTAGCAGTTCATCTTCCTTCTATAAATTCGGCTCCTCCAACGCAGCCAAGCAACCACACCAATATCTCCGAGAAATTATAATGAAAACAAAATCCCAGGAAATAATGCTTCCTCTATGGAATTTTCTCTTCTTCTCCTTCCTCCATTTCTCATCCTTCACTGTAAGCAATTTTCTTCATTTCTTTTTATTATTCCTGTGTTTATGATATTTACTTATTTCAAGACATGCCGTGTCTTGTTCTCGGACAATGCAGGTGGCTTTCGGCGGTACCGGTAATTCATCGGCATCGGAAAACCCATTTTCGCCAAAAGCCTCGTTCGTTCGTTATTGGAACAAACAGCTCAACAGGGACATCCCAAAGACACACTTTTTAATCTCCAAAGTATCGCCTTTAACTGCCGTGGACTCCGCCATTTTCTCCAAACTAGCCGCCCAAAACCACCTCGATTCTCGTCTCCCTTCCTTTTGCTCCTCCGCTAAACTCTTTTGTTTCCCCGATTTATCGCTGAGTCTCGAGAAACACTCCAAAGACGTTAACTTCGCCACCTACCTCAACAAGAACTTCACCGATTACGGCTCGGGTAGTCTCGCTGGAGCCGATACATTCAAGAACTACTCTGAAAACGACTCGTTCCGCCGATACACCCGGAACTCCGTCGGTCACAAGGATCAATTCAACAATTACGCCAGCGGATCAAATGTCGTCGACCAGAGCTTCAACACCTATTCCACCGCCGCCACTGGTGGTTCCGGGAACTTCGACAACTACAACCACGAAGTTAACGTCCCTAACCTCAAATTCACTTCTTACTCCGATGAATCCAACGGTCATGGACAGTCATTCACGCGCTACACTGAGAACGCCAACGCCGGGGAGCAGTCGTTTTCGAATTACGGCAAAAACGGCAACGGAGTTCCTAACGAGTTCAGTAGCTACGGGAAAGGATCAAATGTGATCGGGTCAGATTTTTCCGGTTATGGACAAACAGCGAACGGAGCTAAAGATACTTTCACTTCGTACGCATTTGATATTTCCAACGATCCGGCGAATGGTTTCAAGAACTACGGCGAAGGTGGCAACGCCGCCGTTGACAGTTTCTCAACTTACAGAGACCATGCCAATGTAGGTGACAGCTCTTTCCAGTCTTACGCTAAAGGTTCCAATGGAGCTGAAGTTGATTTCACCAACTATGGCCAATCATTCAACGAAGGAACCGAGAAATTCACCGGATACGGCCAAGGAGCCGACGGACAATCCATCGGATTCAATATCTACGGAAGAAACACCACTTTCAAGGATTATGCTAAAAAGGGTGTAACTTTCAAAAAATACAACCAGAGTTTAAATTCAGCTGAAACTGCTCAAGGCCATTGGGTGGTGGAGGCCGGAAAATTCTTCCGGGAAAAAATGTTAACACAAGGAACGGTGATGCAAATGCCGGACATTAAGGATAAGCTGCCGGCGAGATCGTTTTTGCCACGGACTATTCTTTCCAAAATACCGTTTTCGTCTTCGAAGATCGGTGAACTGAAACGGATATTCCACGCAGGTGATAACTCGTCACTGGAGACCATAATGCTAAACGCTTTGAAAGAATGCGAACGAGCGCCGAGCCCCGGCGAGATCAAGCGGTGTGTGGGCTCGGCCGAGGACATGCTCGACTTCGCCACCTCCGTTTTGGGGCGGAGAGTGGATGTTCGCACGACGGAAAACGTTAATGGGTCAAAGAACTATATAAAGATAGGGGAAGTACGGAAGATCAACGGTGGGAAAGTGACGAAATCAGTCTCTTGTCACCAGAGTTTGTACCCGTATTTACTTTACTACTGCCACTCGGTTCCCAAAGTCCGGGTCTACGAAGCTGATATTCTGGATCCGAATTCAGGGAAGAAGATAAACCATGGTGTCGCCATCTGTCATTTGGATACATCAACTTGGAGTTCGGGTCATGGAGCGTTTATTGCTTTAGGTCCAGGTCCGGGTCGGATCGAAGTTTGCCATTGGATATTCGAGAATGATATGACTTGGACAATAGCAGATTCCTGATTAGAAATTTATTGTTAAAAATTAAATAAATTAAAATTTAGGATGTGTTTGTTTGCCGTAAAATCAATTACGGAATTGGTTTTCTCCGAAATTTCGTGTTTATTTCATGTAATTCGTTTTTCGGAAAATGTTTTTCCGTGCTTGTTTCACGTAATTCGTTTTCCGGAAAATATTTTCCCGTGTTTATTTCACGTAATTCGTTTTCCGGAAAATGTTTCCCGTGCTTGTTTAACGTAATTCGTTTTTCGGAAAATGTTTTCCGGTGTTTGTTTCACGTAATTCGTTTTCCGGAACGAAATTCATTTTCCTAGTAACATAATTTACTTTGTGTTTTCTGTAAAATGACTTACGGATTTATTTTCCGTAAGTCATTTTCCGAACTTTTCACTTCAAAGCAAAAATACTCAAAATAATTTTATTTTATAAATTTAATATTAATAAAATATTTTAATATCATTTTCATCAAAATATTAATTATTAAAATATTTAAAATATATTTATTAATATTTATAATATATATATTATTAGTTTAATAAATAATCAATTATATTATAATATAAGATATTATATTTTTTATTTAATAATATATAATTTTTTATATTTAATAATGAATAATATTATTTATATATTAAATAATATTTTAGTAAAGATATTTAAAATATACTAATTAATATTTTTAAAATATATAACACTATTACTTTAATAATAATTAATATAATTTATAATATTTTATTTCACTAAAATATACCAATATTAATATTTTTATTAATAAAATTATAAAAAAATATTTAATAATAAATAAATTATTTTAATATTTTAAAATAATAATATTAAGTTTTATGAGAAATAATATTATTTATTATATTTAATATTTGTAATAAATAATTTTAAAAAAACTCTTCAACTAGTGGAAAAAAAGTTTAAATAACATCTTCCAAACATCATAAAACGTTTTCCAGATGTTTTCCAGAAATGTAATTCATTTTCCAGAAATGTAATTCATTTTCCAGAATTCAAATTCCAGAATTCAAATTCCAGTAATTCATTTTCCAGTAATTCAAATTACAGTAATTCATTTTCCGAAAAACCAATTACATGCAAACAAACAGACCTTTAGTAGTACAAATAATACATAATTTAAAGTTCAATGATATTAGTACGATTTATCCTGAATTTAATTTTGTTGGGTTGGGCTGATTATATTAGGAATTGGGTTGGGTTATATGTAATAATATTGGGTTGGTTTTAGGTATTAAATTGTTTAATGATTTAAAAATTAAATCGATTTATTTAGTTTGCAATATTGAATCGAAATTAAACCGATTAATTCAGTTAAGTCGAATAAGGTAATCGAATTAATAGTAAAATAGACTAACTAAAAAAATGTGATGAAATTAACTCAGTTCAAATCAGTTTTTTTTCACACCCTAAAAGTTATCGTCAGCTTGATTCGATTTTAAAATATTTGAGGTCTAAAACAATAAAAAAATATTCAGAGAAAAAGAAATTTCTAGAAATCAATCGAATTCTACTCTGAAATATTCGAGGAATATTAGGAAATAGAAACTAATCTATAAAATGAATGTGAAAGAAATGATATGTTTTGGGTAGCTTGTAAACTTGCAAGTGGTTGTTTGACCTAATTGTATCTATATTTTGCACTTTATTTTTCAAAGAAAACGAAAATTCTTAAATATAACTTGTTAGTATAAAGTTAAGAATCGACAGAAATCAGTTTGCAACTAAAAATATTATCAAGAGCATAAATTTTTAGGTTGGATAAAGTAACATTTTCGATTGAAACAATATATATTACATTTTTCATAAGATTTTAGAGTGTAAACCTTAAACTCTCGCAATGTAATTTTTCAGTTGCAACTAAAAATGTAATAAATTTGCATAACTTTTTAGGTCGAACGTGATAATATTTTAAGTTGACCTTAAATTAAACTGCAGCATAGCATAACTACTCATAAAAAGGGGATAAGTCTGTTGTGCGACATCTAAAATACGGTTAAAAGATAGAGTGAAAGATTCTATCGAATATCGATTATCAAATTAAATGTTATATATACTGGTAACATTTTAGGTTGGTATAATAAAAAAATGTTACCAAACATATAACATTTTAGGTTGCAAATAAAAAATGTTACTTAACATATAACATTTTAGGTCAAGTATATTTCACAACATGTATCTAAACTTTTTCTCCGAGTTTTTACACTTATAATTTTCAACCTAAAGTATTATCAATATTTATGACATTCTAGGTTGAATTGGTAAGTATCAAAACTTATTTTTTGAGGTTCGATTCTTATTATTTTCAACCTAAATATTATCAATATATATAACATTTTAGGTTGGCTTGGTAAGTATCGAAACTCAGAGTCTAAGTTTTGATATTTGTCGTGAAATATATTCAACCTGGGTAGATCAAAAACTCATATAAAAATTTAAGTTGAAACCTCAAATGTTATCAGCACCAACTTAAAATGTTATATTTTTTTATAACATTTCATGTTGCAAACCGAAAATCTTATATGATTAGTAACATTTCAGGTTACAATCTAAAATACTCTCAATATTAAGTTGTAACTAATTTAAAAATTTAGATAACATTTTAGATTACAACTGAAAATTTTAATAATTTTAGATTGGCATGAATAACATTTTAGGTTAATACTTGTAACAAAGTACTTCTAATTGACAATATTAAAAAAATTATAAATATGATAACAACATCAAGTGTACCAACTTAAAAAGTTACCATACACCATAATATCCTTTTTTTGTTTAAATATTAACCTTAAATTAATTCGTCGCACCTTAGACTCACCCGGAAAAAAAAGAGAGTTTTTAGATAAATTTTGACTTAATACAAAAAATAAGTGTCCAAAATATATCCTAAGTTAACTTTAGGTACCTAAAGAACTTTTGGTTAAAAATAAGTACTTAAATATTTTTTTGTTACACTGTTAGGTGCATACATAGTAATGACCGTTAAAATAAATTGTTAAAAAATAATTAACTGACACGTGTCATGTTTATATTTTAGCTTAATGCAAAAATAAGTGCCAAAACTATACTTTAAGTTAACTTTATGTGCTTAAAGAATTTTTCGTCAAAAATATGTCTAATGTTTTTCACATTACACTTTTAGGTATCTACGCAATAATGACTGTTAAAAAATCATTGAGTGACCATGTTTACATATTTTGAGATTTTTTAAAAAAAACTTAATAATATTATTAATTAAAAAATTAACATTTTCTAAAATTACAAAAACCCTACAACCCCAAAATCTCTCATTTCAACCTTATTATCAGTTGTCGTCAGTCATCATCGACTGCTTTCACCACCATCGATTGGTTACTCACTCGTTGTCGGACCTCTACTACTGACCATCCCTCATGTTGTCATCTCAATCCTTTTAAATCTATAAATCCAAACTTAAATCCGTAGATCTAAACCCTAAATCTCTAACCCTAATCCCAAATTTATCATTCTCACTCTAAATTAATTTTAGGAATTTATGAGGACGGTGGAGGGGGTTTGAATGCAATTGAGGAGGGAAGAAGTTTTTGCGTAGGCGGGGGATTTTTTCTTAGATTTTTAAAAAAAATTAATTTTTTTTAAAATAATTAAAAATATATATAAATGCAACACATGTCAAATAACGTTCGAATTTAATGATCGTTACAATCTAGGCATCTAAAAATGTAATGTCCGAAACATTATACATATATTCTTAGCGAAAAATTCTTTTGACACCAAAAATTAATTTATGGTATAGTTTGGACACATGTTTTTGCATTAAGCCAAAATATAAACATGACACATATCATTTAATAGTTTTTTAAATGGTCGTTACCGTGTAAGCACCTAAAATATAACAGAAAAAATATTAGGTACCTAAAAATATAAAAAATATTAAACACTTATTTTTAATGATTTTTAAACACATAAATTAACTTAAGATATAATTTAATAAGTTATTATTGCATTAACCCTAAAATTTTATTGTTTTGCCACGTCTGAAGTAATCCTAGGTACATGTTTCCTTTACCCCGTCAGCTTTAGGAAACAGGCCAGAACCGAAATGGAAACTGATTGGAATCTGAACTTCGATTCTGCCATTCAATCAGACATGAACCACTGAGCCGATTTGTCTGTTGAATTATGAACACCACGATCCTTCTCTTTTTATTCTTTTTGAAAAAACCTTGAAGACTTGAAGTAAACGGAAACCTACATCCACATGCAATGTCTTATTCTCGATATCAGATATATTCTACTCTAAACATATTAGAGACATGCATGCTTAACAACACGAATGTCCGTAAATTATAAATGTAGACAACAAATTTTACTCAAATCTGATTTAATGTTTTGAATAATTCTAATAATCAAATTTATCAAGTGATTTTAATAATTAAAAAATTATTATTATGTTTGTGTTCAAGTAATTACATCTACATGTACGTGTGCGTTATCAAAAACTATTTTTCTTTTTAAACAAATATTATCTTATAATCATCTCAAATTATTAAAAGAATGAACAATTTGAACATTCTCTGGTTGAATGCATGTGTTATTCGGGGCCTTAACCCACATGCTTAACGAGTACGACTGCCTTACTCTCTTCTCTTCATCTTCTCTCAAACCCTAATTGTCACTATTGACAGCATTTTCACTATTCATTCTAACAAAAGAGAGAAAAATATCCCCATAATTAAAGTCCAAATACAAAGAAACAAAACCAAAATCAAAGATATTAACTCCCCAAAAGAATTCGACCACAAGGAAAAGAAAAACATAATCAAATATTTTATCTATATTTTTTCTAGAAAAAAAACAATATGATAGGTCCCAATCAGTGCAAGCACAACAAACATAAGAAAGTATTCTCTTTGGGTGAGAATGAACCACAAATTCATTAACTTCTGATATCCCTTTTTCCGATGTCTTCTTTCCAAATTTATACATCAAAGAAACAACTGAAATGAAGTTAATGG